CTCACGCATTGTGTATATTTTTAATAAAATTTTTAAAGAGGTTTAACTGTTTCATTATATTTTAACGCATTTAAACATGTCAACATTTGACTTTGGTTACTAAAACATCAAGCATCCAAAAATATACATTGAAGTTCTCGGTCGCACCGACAACTGCAGAAAGTAAGAATTCATGAATAGTGTAGTCTGTGAATAATTACACAATGTAATTCACAGTATGTTACTTAAGGAATTTGGAAATATTAACTTATAACACACGCTTACTTTGTCAAATCATTTAACCTAAACGAAATTGTTGATAAAATTTAACTGCACATTATTCGGTATGTTTCGAATGATTTAATCCTCGTTAATCCATTACCACAATTCATTTCAATACAAGCTACTAAAGCAGAACATGCATCTATGAATATTTGCTACACCGGTGACTATTGTGCAGCTTCTGATTTTCTGCATGGTATAGCTACTTGTTTCAAGGCGATTGTACTGTTGTAACCCATGGTTTGAATCACTAATGTTTAATTGAGCAATATATTCTATCTTCTATAAAGGGAATTGAAAATTCTAGAAAATCAAGTTTTGGAGTACTGCTCCATGAAGTTAATTAAGAATTAAGATTAACAACATGTAGTGTTTTTGTTTTAAATTGTGAATTTTTTCATTAATTTCAATAGGCATCTGCAAGTCTTTGACATTAAAGGCTTAAAACGATTTGCAATTACATTTGTGTACAAGCAACAAAATGACAGGAATTCAGTTTTCACTATTCCTGAAAATCATTAATCAATTTTTCACAAATGTCAAAACTACTAACTTCTAAAAACAGTGCTTACCATTTTATTATTTTCAAACACTTCAAAATCGATTTTATGATATCCTTGTTGAGCAAAACCAAGGACTTTAATAGCTGCTGATTTCCGATACTCGTACGCCTTAAAAAAATATTTCCTATAAAACATTAAAAATTATCCCAGTGACTTTTTTAATAATACGGATTTTTGCCATTGCTAACGTGAGAGAAGTGCAATAACCTCCCAAATGCTTAAGTTGTAGTTAAGTTAAACTTGAGTGTTAAAATCTTACAAAATAACAATACGTAACATTAACGTAAATAATAAAACAAATTCTCAGTAATGTGCATTAAAAACAACTCACAGACAGGATGATTTTATTGTTATTTTTTAGAAGAACAGGAAGATAAATCTAATGGCACTTGTAGTAAATTTTTTCATGCTTCTTGTGTTAGCAAGACAAAGCTTGGCACAGATATGTCAATGTAAGTAAGTTTATTTGTAGCTACATGGAAAATTTATTCTTATCCTTTTTTAGATAAATCCAGTTTGGGAGGTTACCAAGAACGGGCGATTTAGTCCGTGATCTGTGACCGATTTTCTTTCATTCCCGTTGGACACCTCAAGGAAGGTCGTGAAAAATTCAAGACAGAACAACTTTTACATGCTTAATGCAGTTTTACTTCTTGTCATCTCCAAAAAGCTGCAGTTTTATTGCTATATTACATTAAAATTTTAACATTTGTAGCTCATTACAATTTCGGAATCCGCCATTTTTCCCTTGAAACTTCATGTTATTTATATTTTGTGTGCTAGTGCCAGACCTAATAGAAAGCTATTCCGCACGATAATACTGGCAACATAAATAAAATGCCTAAAAGAAATACATATGTCACTCGTGCATTAGGTTGGAATTTAGCAATTGTTGCGAAGATAATATTTTGAAAGTTATAATCGTATTGTGCAAGACAAGGCGCGCTTTTTTTAAAGGTCTGTCTCGAATTCGTCATCAATGTCATCATCTAAAAACTCCTCTTCCTCAACATCATTGTCGTCATCAATATCTACATTTGTAACGACGAAACGTTACAATAAATTTGATTTTACAATTTGTTTTTTTTTGGTTTATTTCTCTGGCTCTAATCAGAACTTTATGTTGGGCATTAATTTTTATTACACGAATCTACATTCGTGTTTGTAGTACACGATCATACATCTGTACTTCACTCCTGCTTTGTTACATAAACAACGTTGGGAGTTACAGCCACTTTGTAGCCAGTCTTACAACCACAATGAACGTTGTCAAGTAGGGAATCCGGCGCTAGGGGAATGGTCATCCATACGACTTTAGACTTGCAGTTTCCCGTCACTCGTTTGCCACCCATTTTCATCCGGAGGAGTAATATCCATTTGTGGTTGTAAACAGAAAGGCCAAAGCGCAGCTTGGTACAAAAATGAAGAAGGCTGTAAGTTCCATAAACTTCCATTGCTAATCAAGAGTTAGTGTAAATATTGCTAAAGTCATTCTTATTGCATTCTGTATACAACTGAGAGGTATTTTGCAAAAAGAAGTTAAAAATCTCAGTTAAGAAGCATAAAATCTCAAAACACCAAGCTAGAACTCAACATTATATGATTCTTAGAAGAAACTTAGTTACTATTTGTTTACAATATGTCAGAAGTGGTAAACGTTTGTATTTTTCAACAATCTCTTTCATAGGTTGTGATGATTGTTAACCTTCAGTTAAGGCTTTATGCTCAAGATCATATTTTACAGTTCATGAAAGAATATTTTTCAGTGAGCCATTTCAGAAGCCAGAAAGCTGGGGTTTTTTGCTTGGGTTGAAACTTTGTTTTATTGTAAATTGGATTAGCAAGGACTATCATAGATAAAAGTTGTCTTTGTCATACCATGAAAAGGAGAGTGAAAGATTTCAGGCACATTGATTGAAAAAGTGATCCTGTATACATATTTCTCAACAAGAAATGCTGTTATGATTCTGATCTATACATACTAATTTGCTAATTTACTCTGTGCCCGTTGATAAAAGTTTATAATATTGATTTAAAATACAGAATATCTGAATTAATTTTGAAGTCATTCTTTATATAATAAATGCATGGAAACAGCAACTAAAGATAGTTTTGGGACATTGGTATGTAATAGAGACAAGATCCTCTGTTAGAAGTAAGTGAGCAACCACTTTAGTGTTTAGTGCAGCTTCTACAAAACCAAAAAAATGTTGTCCTTCTATATTTAAAAAGAGAAATTTCAGAATTCTACTCTTCCAAAGTAAAGAATGGACTTCACCTATCCTATGTGGAGTGACCTTGTAGAAAGAGTGGTCAAAACATTGAATGAAAGTAATTCTCGTGTTTAGTGAGTCTAATAGCCTGATAGCAATACTTTTAAAACTTTATTTTTGCTCTTGCATCACTTACAGCAGGTTAATCGGAAAGGCATGTACTTTATGGCATCTGTAACAGCTGTAAGCTGCTAAATGTTTGTTCTACAATTTTTATATCTATCTTACGCCTATGCATAATGATGTGCCTCTTTAAAAGCTTATTAACAAGAAATTCTTTAGTGGTAATGATCAATTTCTTACCAAGCTTTAGTGTTTAAGGAAAAAATTATGGAAAGATGCGTTGCTATCCTTCGAAAAGTGAAGTTGCGCACGATTTTACCATGAGTTCTTAAAACTGACAAGATTTAGGTCTAAAACAGGCTTCTCCTATGTTGACACATAAGTGCAAAGGTGACAGTTTAGGTTTGCTTCCAAAATTTTCGACAGAATTCTTCATTTAAAACTTACATTTTACTTGGACTTTATTAAGAATCTCGCCTTTTTGCCACCTTTCAAGATGGCGCCCGTAAATAAATTTGTCTCACCATGACAACGGCAGTTAGATACAAAGAGTTCCGCACCAAAAAAATGGCGACATTCAAAATTGAAGGAGCGAGGAATTTTGAAATTCAACCGCGAAATACTAAAAAGCTGCAGCTTTTTAGAAGTGACAATAAAAAGAATATCAAACAGCAAGTGACTATCTATATATTTGAAAATTTTGCGCCCTTCCTTGAGATGTCCAACGAAAAGACTAATTGTTTATTTTATAAACACAAGCAATATATCACTTTGTCAAACTTTCATTTATTTTAAAATGTGGAAACATCTTCATGCTAATTGAAGCTCGGTTATTCCAGAAGAAAGAAAACTTGTAGTGAAATCACTATATTGTTGCATCAAAAGCGGCTAGGGAGGCAGCGAACGAAAACTTTGTAATATGCTTTAATGCTGTAAAATTAACTATTGTCAGATGCAACATTCAAAAAAATATCTTTCAGAAAACAATCTTTTTTGTTTTTTGTTTATTTGAAGATTGACAGAAGGCGTGCCGACATTTGTATGTAGACTAGAGTTAGTTGACCACAATGCAACACAGTTAGCAATTAACTTATTCAAAAATAGACAAAAACGTATATAAACAAAAAATATTTGTCTGAAGATTAAAGAAGATTGAACAACAAAAAGGCTATCAGATTAGTATCAAACTGCAGAAATAAATGTAGGCTGCTAATAAATAAATATAGACAAGTAAAATTGTACAATTCATAATCGGCCAAACTAACTGCGATCAATAATTTTACAAAAATTTGCACAAGCCGCCTTGCTTACCATGAATTGCAATTGTCCAGTGCAATTTTACATACTAAAACATAAGACCTGATGTTTTATACTATGATACGTTATATTTGCTGTGAATCTTTGTTCAGATTCTAATGACCTGCACTCATAATAAAGTCGAGTTACATCGTCTAAGTTATTCTAATTCTGTGTTGTTGGTTTTTAATCTCTAAACATTGCTCCGGGGATGTGTTACTCTTGCAATTTCGATAGGCGCACCAACAACTTCATATCATCTTTAATTTCTTTCGTTTTTTCTTCAAGCTTGATTGACAAATTAGTTATCTCACAATGTAGCAGCCATATTAACAATGCAATAATCATGTAGACACCATTAGAGGATACTCGGCATATTATTGTGTAAAAATAGGCTTGCAATAGCGTTTGAAACGTCATTTACCTTTATTTCAAAATTTTATGAAACTCTTACGCAATTATTTATAAGGATCCAAAAGTTATGACAAATGTTCTTTCTTACCCATTTTTTAATAAAAATGATATTTTCACAGGTGCCTGTGCCATGAATACAGACGGCAACGAAATCACCCAGTATGGAGTTACCAAAGGATCTGTAAAGTTAAGTGCTATCTCAGCAGGCTTTTGGATGTCCACACCTGCTAAATACGCAAGCCAATATTATCCTACACCCTTGTCTTACAAAGTGAGTTACACACCATGGGGAAATACTTTTATGATGGATATGCATCCAGATCCTACTTTGTATATAGCAAAATTAATTACAGGTAAGTTTTCGTCAATCGACTTTACTTCCAAATCCTTGTTTACGTAAATTTTTATAGCTATTAAAAATGAAAATATCATTGCTGAACATTCAACACATTGATTTGTATTGAAGTGCTTTTGGTTTAAATGCCTCTTCAATTTAAAATTTACTGGCCACTTGTCGTTATGAACCTTGCAACGATACCGGCAGACTGGTTTGAAAACAATTCAAAACTCTTACAGTTTGGGATAGTTTTCACATGACGCCGGTATGAAAAAGTATAAAACCGTACCGCTGACCGTTATGTTTCGAAAACAGCATGGTTATCCGTGAAACTTTGAAAAGCGGTGCAAAACTATACCGTTCTGGCTGCCAGTGTGTTGAATCGGCTTGCACAGTGTTTCTGGTATTTACGGTCATTTTTCGTTTCCTTAAGCAAAGACTATAACTCAAGTGTTGATATAATGGCCCCAGCATTTTTTGCTAGTTGAAAGTATCGTTTAGAACATCACATGACATAATGACATTGCTTGAATTGCTTGAAGATTCGTCCGCACTTTGTGCAATATCTATTTTGTGACATTCAGGGCCCTAGAGCATCATGAGTACTAATTCAAACTACCAGTTTGCAGAATTTATAAGCCTTTTTACTATTACAAAGCCTGTTTGTCAAACGAGTTTATAAAATAAAAACGTTAAAACGCGTGCACTGATTGGTCTATAGCCGTGTTTGCATTGGCCGGTGTAGAACACATCTCAGCTCAACCAGTCAAATCAATCATAACAATCATTCATTCAATGGGAATTTGCAAATCGATCATGAATGTATTTTACATGAAAAATTTAAATGTTTATTTTAAATTTGTATATTTTGCTTTCGTGTTATATTAAAAAAGAAGTAAAAGATATTTTTTGTGTTTGCACTATCTCATGCAAAACTTCGAAGACATTTGTGAGAAGTCTCAAGCAGGTGCAAACCTCAACCTTGGGTCTCGGGCTTGCACTCACTGATCTGCTTTTGAGTTCTCCCAAAAGTGCCATTAGTTTTTTAATAAGTTTGCAATTACAGTAAGCACTTTTTTCTTAAATAATGCAATAAAAAAATTAAACTAGCACAATGTGATTGTGAAAACCCAAAAATGCTTACAACAATAAAAATTAAAAAATCTTTATGAATGAGCTCAGGCTTGCTAGAATTTAGATTAGTTCAGCAAAAGGTTCTCAAAGTTTGTCGTTTTAAAAAACTTCTCAAAGTCTAAAAAGTAACCGAGCACAATCTGTCTGTTTCTATGCCTAACCGTAAAAATTTCATTACGGTTTTGCAAAACATTTTTAGCTGCCCAAAAAATGACGCAATAAAATCTTCGAACACACTCGTCTTGGCAATCAATATCGTCAGCAAAATGAAAAGACTTCAAATAAAAATAACGCGATCAAACTAAACGTCAACATCAGTTTGGCGCAGTGTCAACAAGGTGTCAGTTTTTCTACAAGGTTTGACAATTACAGTTAAGAATTTTTTTCACTTACAGACAGTTATTTAATCTGTTTCACTTTGTAAGATGTGCCCAACTATTATGGCTAGAAAGTTTCTGTTGTCACAAATATTAAATATTTTTATTAACTAGAACTGGTGTAAATCTTGCTGACGGTAAACTTCATCATGTGTGCGTCACGTGGAAATCGTCCAGTGGCATTTTCGCAGTCTACAAGAATGGTCAATTTGAGAAAAGTTTACAAAATATCAACAAAGATGAAGAAATTGAGGCTAACGGTACTTGGGTTATTGGACAAGATCAAGACACTGGATCAACTTTTGCATTCCAAAAAGAAGATTCATTTAAAGGCGATTTAACAGAAATGAACGTCTGGGACAGAGTCTTGACCGATTACGAGATTCAACGTGTTGCAAAAGATTGTGGCACGCTTATTCAAGGCAACGTTATAAAGTACAGCGACTTCAAAATGTCCGAGGAGACCAAATTCATCGAGCGTCTTTCTTGCTGCCCTGCTTCTTAATGACGTTTAATCAGCCTGTTGTTGAACCTGTATTTTAAGAAATAAATAAAGAAAGCATTAGATAATTCAATAATTTTTGTAATACTTTTTGCGTTTGAAAACAGCTCCCATACTGTCATAGATTTAGTATGCAAATGAAACTTTTTGTTTCAAAGAATTTTGACAGAAAATACTTGCATGCTCATTCATTGGCGCGGTGTTTGTTGATGTGAAAGTATACTTACTATCTTTCAATTGAAACTCAACAAAATTCTAAAGACAATAATTTGTCTTCAAAATTTGCACAACTAAAAACCATTTACATCTAAGACACCTTATCTTTCTGAATAGAAACAAACTTTTTTAAGCAAGTGTTACTAAAAGCTTTTATGCTTTTCTAATATTCGTATGATTTTTTCAATAAAACTTTATAAAAGTTACATAGTGGACTCTGAAGCAAGTAAACAATTCTTGTGATACGATATTACCTCAGATGCACACATTACTCCAGGCAGAACAACCAGATTCACACATTTTGTTGAAGGTCTAGCGTTATTATTCTCAATATAGTGCATAGGTACCGTTCAGTTAATCTAGGGAGTCTACAAGTCCTTTACAGGTTTATATCTATAATGTACTCGTTTGCTATTTCTGACCACCATATATTCAAAACTCTGAGGGTAAGTTTGCCCTTATAATTTATGCACTGTGTGTACTTTAAATAAAAATATTCGAGAGATTTTACTGTTTCATTACATTTTAACGTATTTAAACATGTCGACATTTGACTTTGGTTACTGAAAAATCAAGCATCCAGAAAAATAAAATTTTTTAAGTCAGACCATAGGCTAAAAGAGTTTCTATTGCATGTCTGACATGGACCAATTAATATAGCGGAACAAAAATAAATTTTATGCTATTAGCATTATACTAAAGTAAATGGTTTGAAGCCGGGAGTATCGTTAAATATTTGTAAATGTCGATCGTCCAGGTTGGTATGTTCCTGAGAAGGACTGTTTTTGTTTTTGTTGACTGACGTTTAGACAACCTTAGGGGTAGTCATCATCTCTGACTCTGAAGATAAGCAAAATGTGTTGTTTTTGCGCAAAAACGATGCCCACAAAATACATTATGCATTGCTCAAAAACGCTGAAAATGGCATTTTCAAGGCTCTAAAATTCAAAATTTCTCAGGGGAGAATACCTCAGACCGCCCCCCCAGGTGCGGAGCACCTCCGAAGTTTTATGACTGATGTTTGAAAAATCCTAGATCCGCCCTGATTTGTGGTATGATTTTCTCGACTTAAGTTTTATTTTATTTTTATAAATCATTTGCAAAGATTTATTGGAAAAGTCATTCTTTCATCTTTCTGACTTATATTAATTCAGCTAATGTTTATAGAGTTTAAACATAAGAAAACAAATGTTAGTAATGGACGGTGTATAAATAAGAGTTAAATTGGCATTGTACATTTCAACAAATTTTCAATGCCTAAGTTGAACTTGTTTGTGCAAAACTTGTCTAGGTGAACCAATTTTATATCACATTGAAAGAATTGATCATGACTGAAAAATTTTGGCGGTGATTGACATTATAAAAAGATGATTTTGCTTGATTTTACTGTCAATCTGTTGTGAGTGAGAAATGAATTTTGCTGCAAATCTGGTATTGCTGTATGATATGGGCAAGAAAAATCAATAGAGGATTAAGTTAAAGAATGTAAAATATCGAATTTACAATACTCAAGTTCAAAATGCATTACCTCACTATAAGCGTACGGAAGCTATCATTTCTGGGGGAGCAATACATATTTCTCCCAACTAACAATTGATGTTCTGCCATATTTTCGCTCGATTAACGTTGAAAATTTACCCTACTTTTTAAAGCTATATTGTCAGTACAAAAATACAGAAATGCATAACTTAATAATTTTTTTGCTTTGTCAATGCAATATAAAATTCAGGCTCGTTTCAAACATACAGTTCATGCGAAAATTGCATTAAAGAAAAACTAAAAAATTTCATATTCAAGTTATGCATAAATTGTAAAAATAGTGAATAAAATGGGACAAATTATTTGTTTTTGCCTCATATGTATTACATAAAAAGGGATTACATGCAACGCTATTGATATTGGAATTTATGTACCATTTAACCTACGTAAGGTTAATGTCAAGATGTTTAAAGCAAAAATATTTTTTTTCTCAATGACTTATTTTAGGAAGTGGCACAACCATTTATTTGCTGTTTAAGACGTGAATGTGCATTTTGTACTAAATAAGTAGCTACAAAAACTGGGAAATTTTACTATGATATCGATGTTGAATAACATAACATTATTTTCAATTACCGCGTTAATATTGTTCATGCAATAAGGCTATAGTCGCTGACCAATATACTTTTATACGTAATTTAAAATACTTTTATCGAATATTTCTAGGAGTAAATCTTGATCATATATGAGAAATAGTGCGAGTGAAGGTTTTGCGTGTATATAGATTGATCAAACATAATTTCAATGGTAAACAAATGTTAGTAAAAATCATAAACATTGCCAATTCATGCGGTAATTCAACTGTGAAATACGTGATATGTATCATTATAACGATTTGCAATACGATTTTAAAATCAATAAATATTGGAGTAAATGTAGCTAAGAGAAACGACATTGCAGTTAAACAATAAATACGAAATTTCTATGAGTAAGAATTATTCTTCTTCTATTTACGACGCCAGTCAAGGTCAGTAGAACTCCAAGCTTTTGTGATTACCATAATGTTTATGAATAATTTAAATCATTCTGAAATAATTGAGTAATGTTTTAAGTAAATATTCACTTCGTTTTTACTTTTCATTGCCATCAGAAATTCATCATACAAATGATTACAAGCTTTCTTCCAACAGTAGATTTGTTACAAAAGCTTGAAGTTATCCGGTTTTAAAGAATTCTACTGAAGCTTATTGGAATTCATGTATTTTAACGAGTATAACATCGATGTTGACCACGGTAGCTTTGAACTACTAACATTGCTTCCTTCTTTTTTATGTGATAACAAAATATTGCCAAAAATCAGAAATGAAGCAAATGCAGACACACTGTAGGCAAATCAAGTCGCTACACTTCTTGATCAACTTGGTTTTACAACACCTAACGATATATTTCAAGATATTTCTCAACTTTGATTGGCTTGCGGTGAGCATAATCTATCTCATACGACCCGAGAAATACAGCATTGGTGAGAAATTTAAGTTTGAACGAACTATGAATAACGTTTATTGTAAGTCATTGTAAATCGTTAAAACTTGCGTTTCTACATATATTACGCATCATACTGTAAGTCAACTGGAATTATAGCTGCACCAAGTTTTATTTAAGTGGCATTGTTGATTAAGATGTGTTGCCACAATAGGGTGTTTTTCGATATTGATTTATAATGTAATGAAACGACGCGTATCATAAGAGCTTTGTTTTCCCAGAAAATACAACAACATCTGGCTAGAGATAATCAATAAAAATCAGTGAATAAAGAAAAAAGTTGTTTCAAATAACTTTGCAACCAAGTGAATGCTGAAAGCTCATTCTCTGATTATCTATATTATATCTTTAAAAACAAATTTTTGGCACTTTGCTGACTAAAATATATAAGTCGTAATAGATCGTCCTTATCTTTTACACGAATAATTACGTTTATTCAAAAGTGTAATTATTATATAATCAAGAATTAGATGTGCAGAAAACTGCCTGCATTAAGTCTTGCTGGGAATACAGTGGTCTACTGCCAATCGAATCATACCACGAAATATTCTCTCAAGTGTGCAATTTAACAAGTGTACACGTGTACCAAGGTGAATGCTGAAAGCTCATACTCTGATTATCTATTTTATATCTTTAAAACAAATTTTGGCACTTGGCTGACTAAAATATATAAGTCGTAATATATCGTCCTTATTTTTACACGAATAATTACGTGTATTCAAAAGTGTAATTATGATATAATCAAGGATTAGACGTACAGGAATCTGTCTACAGTGTTGCCACAGTAGGGTGTTTTTCGATATTGATTTATAATGTAATGAAACGACGCGTATCATAATAGTATAGATTTCTCTAAAAATACAACATCTGGCTAGAGATAATCAATATAAATCAGTGAATAAAGAAAAGAGTTGTTTCAAATCACTTTGCCAACCAAGGTGAATGCTGAAAGCTCATTCTCTGATTATCTATTTTATATCTTTAAAAACAAATTTTTGGCACTTGGCTGACTAAAATATACAAGTCGTAATAGATCGTGCTTATTTTTTACACGACTAATTACAAAAAGACTAATTGTATCAATGATTAGAACTACTAGTCGTTTATAAAAGTTAATCTAAGTGAGGATTTTTTCGATAAAACTGGTACTGATGAGGCAGTGGAAATGAGGTTACTTTTGGCATTGGCATTAAGGTGTCTCCTTATTAAGATTCCTTGTACATTTTATAGACGCATAGCCTCAGTAGGGTCGCCAGGTTGTTCAGAATAGTGGGGACGACGAAACTGTCAAAGATGTGAGACTTAAATGGTAGTACCAAAGCATGCGCTTTTAAAAAAGTCTTAAGTGTAGCTATGTGTTCACTATGACGCTATTCCATTCAGACAGGTTTCACAAAGATATGACTTTAGCTCTACGTATTTGAAAGGCTAATTAGGATAAAATCAAAGATTAGACGTGCAGGAAACTGCCTGCATTAAGTCATTCTGGTCTACTGCCAATCGTCTAATACCACGTAATAGTCTTACAAGTGTGTAATTTAATTAGTTTAAAAAGTACAATAGTGTTTTAAATATTTTCAGATGCAAAAGACTATACACGCTGACAAATATACATGTATAGGTATCTAATTTTTATCAAATATTTCTGGAAACAAATCTTGATCATATTTGAATAATCGGGGGAGATTATTATGCGTATATAGCACACGATGAAATATTATTTAACGGCACAAAAATGTTTTTAACATTATTACATATAGCATTTAATGGGGTCATATAGTGATACAACTGTGTAATACGTGGCATCTATCTTATGTATGTTGACTCTTTCGTACTTAACCTTTCATTTGCGTAATGATGTCTTTTTTTATAAAGACTTGCAATATGATCAATAAATTTTAAAATCAATAAATATTAAAGTAAATGTAGCTAAGAGAAACGACATTGCAATTAAACAACAAATACGAAATTTGTATGAGTGACAATTCTTCTTCTTCTATTTACGACGCCAGTCAAGGTCAATAGAACTCCAAGCTTCTGTGATTACCATAATGTTTATGAATAATTTAAATCATTCTGAAATAATTGAGTAATGTTTTTAAGTAAATATTCACTTCGTTTTTTACTTTTCATTGCCATCAGAAATTCATCATACAAATGACTACAAGCTTTCTCAAAACAGTAGATTTGTTACAAAAGCTTGAATTTATCGGGTTTTCAAGAATTCTACTGTAGCTCATTGGAATTCATGTATTTTAACTGGTATTGCATCGATGTTGACCGCGGTAGCTTTGAACTACTAACATTGCTTCCTTCCTTTTTATGTGATAAGAAAATATTGCCAAACATCAGAAATGAAGCAAATGCAAACACACTGTAGCCAAATCAACTCGCTACACTTCTTGATCAACTTGGTTTTACAACACCTAACGATATATTTCGAGATATTTCTCAACTATTATTGGCTTGCGGTGAGCATAATCTATCTCATACGACCCGAGAAATATAGCATTGGTGAGAAATTTAAGTTTGAACGAACTATGAATAACGTTTATTGTAAGTCATTGTAAATCGTTAAAACTTGCGTTTCTACATATATTACGCATCGTACTATAAGTCAACTGGAGTTATAGCTGCTCCAAGTTTTATCTAAGTGGCATTGTTGATTGAGATGTGTTGCCGCAGTAGGGTGTTTTTCGATATTGATATATAATGTAATGAAACGACGCGTATCATAAGAGCTTAGACTTCTCTAAAAATACAACAACATCTGGCTAGAGATAATCAATACAAATCAGTGAATAAAGAAAAAAGTTGTTTCAAAGAACTTTGCAACCAAGGTTAATGCTGAAAGCTCATTCTCTGATTATCTATTTTATATCTTTAAAAACAAATTTTTGGCACTTTGCTAACTGAAATATATAAGTCGTAATAGATCGTCCTTATTTTTTACACGAATAATTACGTGTATTCAAAAGTGTAATTATTATATAATTTATGGAGGTTAATATAATTCCATGAATGTTATGAGGTAGAGGAAAGGAGGTAATACTTTCTGCAAAAGTAATAAGATGTTTCCTAATTAAGATTACTGATGCAATATATAGAGACATAACCCCATTAGCGTCGCTAGGTTGTTGAGAGTCGTAGAGACAATGTAACCGTCTAAGATATGCGACTTAAATAGGCGTTCGAAAGCTTGCACCCATAAAAAAGATTGGATTGTATGTTTGATGCTGTTTCTTTTGGGTAGCTTTTATGTTAATATAAAAGCCACACGCTTCAGAGGAGCAATTTTTATTTAAATTTGTCAACACATGTATTCAAAGGGGTATTATAGACCACGATGCTAACTGTATTGACTTTGTTATGTGACCGTTAAAGAAAGCAAATATTTTTGTTTCAAATCAGATTCGTCGCACACTACCAGCTAAATCTTTTTATACTTTATGAAATCTCAAATTGGTCTTTGAAACAACTTTGGGGAAGCACGTCCAGCCTTCTACCCCCAGGACGTTACGACTAGCACATATATAACGTAAAAACTGTCGGAAAACCACTAATCTATGAAAAAAACTTTAATCGAATTAATTGGATTATAGGAGTTGTCAAATAATGTAACAACAAACTATTTGCAATTTTAGCTTCAGCAGAAATGTTTCAACCAATTTAACACAAGGCCCGGTTCGACATAGTAACGCTAAAATCTATCCTATTAAATTATAATCGAAAATTGTTTAATTATGCCAGTTGCAATTGACAAAGTTTTCACTAAACGTTAGCTAACTTTTGACTGAAGTTACAGAAAGTTGAACAGTTTGCTTCATTTGTAATTTTTTCAACACTAAATTTAATGTATATTTGCTAAAATGCATGAGTACTCAAGAACACTGCTTCTTTACTTCCTTCACCAGTAGTTAACAGAATCTTCCAAACGTAAACAAAAAGATACGTGATGTGCTTAATATAGCTATTAGTCATAATTGTAACTGATTAATATTTCATTTAGAAGAGCTATAATACCAAGCATCGTTAAGACCATTCTCATATTTGCAAGTGTGCTTCAAGCAAGCATCATGTCAGCACTTTGTTAATGTGTTGAGAAGAAGTGAGTTGATAACAGAAGTAAAATTTATATTTGAAACTGTAAGTAAATATAAAATATTATATTTCTTTTAAAACTACATTATAATTTAAAGATATTTTAAACTTTATTCAATCTACTGCTTTTAACGTTATAAATCTATTTGTGCGTTCGTCGCTTTGTCGGAAAAATATCGTGAGTTGTTTTTCATTCGACATAAAGACTATAACAATGAATCCAATCGAATATACATACAGTATGAATGTAATGACAAATTTCCTACAAATATCAAGCAGAAGTCATTTGCAATAAGAACAGATTTGTTGTTGACATAATCCTAAGAGAATGTTGTTACTTTGAGAAATAATAACTAAAAACATTACCGCCTAAATATTGACTTGTATACGATATTCCCTGTCATCCATTCAAGCGGAACTGAACGTGAGCTGAATTTATGCGAAGTGAAAAGGAAATAAAATTCTTTACAAAACTTCATAAAAGAATAATAAATAAAAGTCAAGATATAGTTGAAATGCCTGCTCACAAGCGACCTCAAATATCAATTATATCTCGTTCCAGCGACCGGTATTAGCAACTTGTGCTTAGTAGAATGTATGCCTGGTATATATATAGTCAAGTTGGGTATTATTTAAATTGCTGATACATAGTTTGCTTTATTCATACATGCTCACAGTACACAGTTGGTGAAGACAAACCCTAAAAGCAAATGAATTTATTTTGCTTTCGAATATTGTACAAAATACAAATAATAATGCTACCATCGAATACCAGTTTATGTAAAGTAGGCCCAACCTCTTGACAACAACGGTATTCAATGGCATCTGTCAGCAGTAGAGTACGACACAAGCTACATGCACACCTATAAAAAAGTGGTTTGTTATCGTATTTATGCACCACGACATAAGGACAAAATAACATGTTTAATTCATGGTTTAATTTCTTCTAGAGTTCTAATAACATTTATCAACATACCACTTATCTAACTGAACGGTTCCTTCGAGCCTCGCTTCCAATGTTCGAGGTTCATTTCCATCTGCGTCTTCTTCGACCAACACAAATTCTCTCCGACTGCGCTCGCAAGAGGTTCATTTTCGTAAGGATTTACAACTGAATTAGCCACAATTGTATCCTCATCGCCGGAATTCAAAAGTAAATTTTCATTTGCCACATCTGAGTTTTCAGTATCCGAACTGCGTTCGCTTTCACTGCTTGAAGAACTCATATTTTATTGTGTATATGTGTTAAAGTGGTACTATGACGAAAATTTTGCCTCTCGTTTTCTTTTCATAGATTGATAGTGTATGTAAAAATGTCTTTTGGCGAAATTTTAGCGCAATGTATTTCATGCTGCTCGAGTTATGTAGCGATAAAACTTGAACTTCAAGAGCCGCAATTAAAATGCGCCATATTTGAATTGTCATGTAGGAAGGTGCTTGTGACGCCATAGTCTTAACTCGCGGCTGTTTACAATATAACACTATATGCAAATAGCGATTTAAAAGGTTGTATAACTCAATTTTTTTAACATGCCTTTAACACGATGTGTCGTGCAAGATTGTAGTTATAAGTCTGATAGAAGTACAGACATTTCATTACATAAAAGCCCAAACGACGAGTCTTTAAAAAGAATTTGGTTTAAATTTGTTCAGACGAAGCGCGCAAATTTTAATCCGAGTTCGCACGAAATTCTATTTATGATTTGTTCGAATCACTCCTCGGAAGATTGTTTTGAGCGTTTATTCCATTTGGGTCGTATTACTAGACGGCACAAACCTGGTGCCGTACCTACTATTTGGAAGAAATCACCAACACCAACAACGTCAAGAGAGAGGCGTTAGCACAAGTTTCAACTCTTATATTCGTACATATATTGCAGATGATAAATTTACACAATTTGAGAGAAGCAATAATACATCCAGGCAAACTTCCAATATATAATATACATTTATACTAAGGTTTTAAAGGAAATAAAAAAAATAGTGTCTGTATCCAGCATGAACAAAAAAGTTTTAAAAGTAGCGAGATATCTAAATGACGTTACTTTCGTTGAAGCGAGAACAGTGGATGTGAGGCTTGAGCACAGTCACGTGACATGCAATCTAAGCTAGAGCGTTTGAAAAATGCAGAAAGAGTCAAACAATTAATTGATCGGATAACTAAATAACATTTTCAAATCTTAATCAAATTTGAGGAAAATAATTTTAAATATACAGTTATATTTAAATAAGGCTCATTTCACCTACTTTATTTAGTAATAATATACTTGACAGGCACGCACATGCACGCAAGTGCACCTATTTTTTTGTCTTTTAGTTTAAAAAATGAAATAGTCAATAAAAAGTTTGCAGATGTGCATGTTATGATGATTAGACTGAACTATCACGTTTTTACTAAACAAAGACAATTTTACAAGACATCTCGTCTGTTTTACGCAAAAACCATGACCAGCCGACAGTTTAAAGAAATATAGTATAACAAGCAAATTCCCCAAATTGTTTTTCCCTTTCGGACTCGTTGACGCAGTAACTAATGTTAATAACATTCCTAAACATCTGTTCGCAGAAGGCTATCGATTTGTTTCATTCGACGTTGAATCCTTTCATACCAACGTTCCAATCTCTCGCACAGTCAAAATCATTTTAGACAGCATTTACGATGAACACATAATTTCAACAACTTTAAAAAAGTCTACATTGAAAAACTCATCTTAGATTGCTCCATCAAAAATGTCTTTTCTTTTAATAACATTATTTTATGTCTTGTATTTAATAACAACACGACGGCGTTTCTATGGGTTCCTCATTAGGACCTGTCCTTGCTAATATAATTTTAACAAAATTTAAAAGTTAATAGCTTCCGATCTCATTAATGACGGTACAATAAAATTCTACAACCGTTATCAAACCCTCCAATATTTCTGCTGTCTTATTGAATTTTAATAGTTTTGATGCCAATCTCACATACATTTCACGATGGCATAATTCATTTTCTAGATATAAAAGTTTCGGTTGATGGAACTGACATTTACCGATAAGACACCCATACTGGTCTACTCACATTTCTCTAGCTTCGAACCTTTTTATGGAAATATTGCATGGGTAAAATCTCTTTACCACGGTGCCTTCAAAATTTGTAGCAATAAAACACTTTTCAACAATCAAACTGAAATAATGAAATCTTACATATCTTAAAACGGTTATACCAACAGCGTTAAAAAATTTTTTAAAAAAAAAACAAAAAGCCAAATACAATAATTATATTCCCAGTGACAACTGCACTTCTTTAGATGATAATCTACCTAAAATCAGGGTTCATATTCCTTATCTTGGCGTGCGTGGCGATTTCCTCTTAAAGTCCTCTTTTAAGAAAATACAAAGACATCTTTCTTAACCGGTGACATTTGTTACTATTTATGACACTAAAAAACTGCCGTATTTTGTCTCTAACAATGACAAACTTCCTTCACTTTCTCGCAGTAAACTTTTATACAAAATAACTTGCCCTGGCTGCGGTAAAACCTACATCGGTATGACACAAAGATGCCTGTCTGTACGACTCAGAGAACATGCAACCAGGCTCTCTTCTAGTGAATTTGGCTATCATTTCTCTGAGTGCGAAAACGCTCAATTCCTGGCGACTCTACAAAACCAGGTCTCACAACTCAATGATCTCCCTTCCCCTCCCAGAACCCCCTCTCCTATAGAAAACCTTGTATTCAACAACTATAAGATACTTCACTCAACCAAATCTAACAACTACCACATTCTTGCTTTTCTTGAAGTACTTCTCATCAAACATAACAAACCTTTTCTTCTCAACACGGGACTTAAGGCTAGCAAAGAATTACATCTCTTCTCTTGAAATATAATACACTTATTCTTCCATTCGGGTCGGCAGTTTCAATTCATCCTTTTGAAATACTACACCTCTTCCAACTCTGCCTTTGTAAATAAAACACTATTTAATTTCTTATGGGTACATCCGTTTACTTATTTCATGCGTTGTAAATATATATGTGTAGGTATGGTTTTAAATATCATTCTGTCTGAGGATGAATTTAAAATAAAGTCAAAAATTTATAGTTCACTTCTCGTCTTGTTTTGATTCACATTTGCAATCTCAAGATGTCTTGCTTCTTCGGAATTTGTTTTTTATTATATTTTTTATCAAATTGTCGACTGGTCATGGTTTTAAAGTCAAAGTTTGTTGTTTATTGTTTAATGCTGATATTTAAAACACATATGTACTCGTATGGACTCGTATGTCACTCGTATATGCTCGTATGTCATTCGTATGTACTCGTATGTACTCGTATGTACTCGTGTGGTGTTTTAGTCAGGATCAATAATAGTTTATAAATGATATTACATGATAGTAGTTGCTATCATGTAACAGTATAACATGCTTGCGATACGAGTTTCGTTTTTCACTTCTATACAATCTACATTTTAAGATTTCAATATTTATTAATTAACCTCATTGTTCAACAAACCAAAGTTTGGCGATGTAGTTCTTTACAAGAGTTTTGACACACTAAACAATGTGTCTTAATTAACGCCTTCAATTAATCTGAATGCTTTGTGACAGTGGAATTATATTTAAGGCAAAATTCTACATGTGGCAAAGCATTGGCATCGTAAATTTATTGTACCTGGTTTTTTAAATGCAATTTTTGATGCAACTGTTTCGGAGGAGTTTGTCAGAGTTATTGCATAAGACACAGTGAAGTATAATAATGTTATATCGCTTGTTTGAATGACGACAGTATTAATTAAAGCTTACGAGCACTTTGCAAAAAAGTTACGCCGTTTTACGCTGTGTTAGTAGTTAAGATGCTGCTTTGTCACACCTTTGTCAAGGAGCTCTTACCCGTACCAGTTAGTTTCTAGCCCCCTGAAGTTGATCGGTGCGCGCGCATGTCAACCGGAAATAGGGGTTAATAGACAAGGCATGGCATTGGATGGCGTGAAAATCGGAGATGCGATAAAGCTGGAAGTTTCATGCTATAAACAAAGTAACATTAGATCCGTTTCCTTTTCTCAATGGAAGGTAAAAACGGTAGAAAACAAGGTAATTGCATTTTATAGCTTATACTTTATCAAAAGGTTTACATTTTATCTCTTGAAACAAATGGAATTGAACGTAGACATTGATCAGGCATTAAGAATGAACAAATTGCCCTCGGAATCAGAAAAGAATGAAATAACTGTACGTCTAAGTCTGTTAGAAAATAAACTTTTAGACTGCTATGCTGAAGAAATTATTGCAATGATAAACGCTGAAGTAAATAAGAACTGCAACGGATACATGATTGATCACCCCCTCAACGCGAGCATGATTGTTTGACGATGGAGCATTACGAGCGTATGTTTTTGCATTTTGATGATGCCTTGGAAAATGTGTCCGAAGAGATTGTGATCAAAGATTTTATGAAAAGCATTAAAGATGTCAAACCACCCGTTAATGGACTTGAGATACTAAAATACACTTGTAGAGATTGGCTTAAAATATTTGTTTCAGATAAAATGAACAAACTTAAAAAACGAGTCATTCTACTTTTGTAAATTTTTATTAACACTGTTACATTAAAATCTTTACTGTCAATGTTCTGCATCAAACATGACGTCCTCGGTACACAGTTTTCTGAATGAATGAAATAAGAACCACTATATAAAATTGCTGCTTCCGTATGAAAGTTTATACTTCAAACATATATATATATATATATATACAAAGTGTATAACAATGTGCCCTCCCGGCTATCACCATAGTAAAATGGTGACTCCTGCACTTGGGACACAGGATGTACGGTTACACATTGTATGGATTGTATTGTAGAGTCACCACAGCGCTCAAACCTATATAGGTGAGCAATGCATAAAGTGAATGCGGTGAACGTCTCTTTATGAGACTCTCTACGCAATCCGAGAGCGCTCAAACTGCGCAAGCGCAGTGAGCGTAATATACAAAGTGTATAACAATGTGCCCTCCTGGCACATTGTTATATATGTGCCCTCCCGGCATATATATATATATATATATATATTGATGAGAAAAAGAAAATACACAAAAACTACAATTTCATCCCGACAAGCCTGTTTCGTGAAAAATTAGCAAGAAAATACTGGACAGAATTAACAGCAACATCATAAAAACAACCTCATACAACCAATGGAAAAACTCATCATCTGTGATCCAGTGGTTCAAATCTATCGAACACAAAAAAAACGTCACCTTCATATCCTTTGACATCGTAGACTTTTATCCATCCATTAATCAAGACCTACTAAACAAAGCACTGGATTTTGCCTCAACCTACGACAACATCACAAACGCCGAAAAAAACATCATTATACACGCTAAGAATTCATTCCTTATTCACAACAAACAACCCTGACAAAAGAAATATAACTCTACATTCGACGTCACAATGGGTAGCTTCGACGGAGCTGAGACATGCGAACTCGTAGGAAGCTACCTCCTTTCTCAACTACAAAACATCACAACAGACATAGGACTTTATCGAGACGACGGACTTGCCATTTCAAACACCACACCACGAGAAACAGAGAACATTAAAGATGAAATATGCCGGATATTCAACAACAATGGACTACGCATAACTATTGAAGCAAACAAAAAAATCATCAACTTCCTTGACATCACCTTCAATCTTAACAATTTTTCATATCGCCCTTACACAAAACCCAACTCTTCTCTGCAATACGTCCACAGCGAAAGCAACCATCCACCAACCATAACGAAGAACATACCCGACGCCATCAACAAACGTCTATCTTCACTATCATCCGACAAAGCATCATTTGACCAAATAACTGCACCATACCAAAAAGCACTCGACGAAAACGGATACCGATACACACTAAAATTCGACTCAGACGCTACTACCAAACGGAAAAACAGACTTCGACAAATTTACTTTGGTACAACCCTC